TAGACATTAACGTAGATTAGTGCCAACCAATCGGCTAGCAGCCTGCTCTCACCACACCGGAATCGATCACATAGTTGTTTATCTATTCAGTTTTATCATCGGAATTCTTATCACTGTTGCTAACTCTTATGCAGTTGTTTTCTGTTCGCTTGACATTGATTTCTTTCGGTCTGTTTGCTTCAGTATCACTCAGTGTCTATTCATTTTTTGGCTTTTTATGTTGTTTGGATACATAACAACTTCAATTGTGGTACTTGTGTTTGACTATAGGTATTCACTTAAACATATTCACTTAAACTTAAACATCTAATATCAACAATTCACTGTGCACCACCTTGCCTGGTCGCCATATAGCAAACTTGACTGATGGAATTCACTTTGCACCAAAGATAGGACCAGACACATCACACTAGTTGCTGACTAGTGTCCGATCAAAAATTACATCCAACTGTCTAATATCGAATCATCACAATGTTCCGCAATGACGAGTCACTTAGCTTGCTGACCAGTGTCACTGGTAAACTTAGTCAGCACCAGTACAGAGGACCAACCAAATGACACTGGTTGATTATAACGAATTTTTCTAAATTCAACAACCAACTTCATACATAGTCTGTTGAGAGAAAAAGGAGGATAGAAATTGAAGTGGTCGGATGGATTGAGAAACTCATTTATTTGTGAGAAATTGATTCAACCGTAGGATATCTCAGTGCGGTAATAAAAGGCTTTTTTTAACATTAGATAAAACCCGCTACATTTGGTGTCAGTGGTTCAGTCGTAGAATACTTACCAACCATACACTTGGTCCGACGCGACCCGTACGCACTCCTAATCGTCGCTTGGTCAGTAGTAATCCCGGTAAAGGGGAAGGTCGGGCTTGAGGCCAGCAACCCCACCTCTTAAAAACTATACACCACTGCTACTGAAACTTCAAGGCTGAATCTTGAAGTCCTATTTTCCACCCGGAACATTAAGGAATAAAATAATAAATACTTTCTTTGCTGTCGGCTAGCTACTGTTTCACCCACTCCTACTGTCAGCATTCTTCTCTTTTGGCATGGAGGTATAAGTGCTGAAAGCAGAAGACCACAAGAATCTACATAGAATGGCTCACGTGTTTTGGAAACACTTGTTAGACAGCATCTGAATCTGAGTTTTTGTTACATAATTGGGGGCAAATGACAAGATGCCATAGATCTAGTTTTCGTGCTTGCTGACATTCTTCAGCAAGACTCATCTGCAGTCCTGAAGGAATTCATCGCTTTTGTGACATTCAAATAGGTCTCACCCAGTGTTGCAGTCAGAGACGTTACCTCTGAGCTATTCGGGCTCGCTATTGACCTCATCTAGGACTGTATTGGATACTTCTATAGGATACTAAGCAGGAATTAGTGTCAAGCCTCTAGTTCTATGTTTGGTTCAGTCTGAATCATATCAGTCAATTTTGCCATGTGACCACTATGCTAGATAGAATTCAGTCTGCACCAAACAAAGGAATGCATACATTACACTAGTTCTTACATAATGTCCAATCAAAATGTCTAAGTCATACATAAGGAGGTTGAATCTGGTGGTTGGTTGGTGAATCTTTCTCCTTTGAATTGATTACGACATCACTACTAAGAAAGAGTAAGGAATGATTTGACCAAAGCATGTCACCAAACAATGAGATCCATTCACTATCATTTTGTTGCAATGTAGCTGGTGGGTAGCGGGGGGGGGTAAACTGTCTTACTTGTTTCCTCCTGATGGTCAAATGGCCGATAACTGCCCACAATATGTATTCACTTTTCAATATTTACACTAATTTTCACTTATTCTCTTACTCATACATATAACTCCACTGAGGTAACGTTGTTTTTTATGGCTTTTTTTTGTCTTATATATTCTATGGTGTTTTGATTTGTGACCACACTCGGGTTGCGTAAAATGTTCACTATGATCTGAATCAGTCAACCATAAATGTTATTTTGCAGTCATCATGCTTTTACCTAATTAACTGTGAATAATGCTCACTACCTTATTATAACTGCAGCAAATTTAACCGAAATCAAATTCACCGTTTACAATTTACACAGTTCAAGGTGAAATTTTAGCCATAGTTTCCTTTAAAAGCCGAAACTATTCAGGTCATAATATATACATGACCTACTTGATACTATAATTGGTAATCAAGACAGCAAGCAGAATTACACGACGTTATACACTACTGGTTGTTTGTTATGAGTAGTTGAGTACCCTGCATATCAATCAGTAATGCTTGCCAGTCAATTTCTCCTCGAAGTGTGCAAATGGAGAATGAATTCACAAATTGCAGATTTAATTCAATGTATTATCAGTTTGCACAAGTAGATAGCCGAAATTCGAGTGGTTTGAATTGACTATCTGTTTTAAAATGAGTGAAACCGGGCACACACCTCTGATCATCCTGGTCCAAAACGAGCGAAACTGACACCCGGTGTTTAGGTTACTTTGACCTGCCTAGCACAAACAGTACTGCTTGATGTGGATAGTAATCAGGTGCTCATATAAATCAGTCAGTATATAAGAGACTCATGAAAGACAGTCGATGTTAGTCAGATATTTGCTTTACTTCGACCCTAACTACAAATACATCCCAAACAGTATGTTTACTAACAAAATGTTATGCAAATCAATTCCTAGATAATCTTGCCTTTGACTCACAACATGCCCATGTCCTTGTAACTCACTGTGATTATGGCTGATACCACGAAATCTAGCTGGGTGACTAGTATAATGATAAACGGACAGGTGAGCAGTGTTCGCTCTTATGACAGCAGCGTATTATAATATATGATGGCTGCAGCGAATTGCTGACGTGGTTAACAGTCAGGTCTCATAGCTTAACTGGTATATGCTCAGACTGTTAAATCATGAAGACAGCTGGTCGCATACTTTCAAGTGTGGCTACGTTTACACACTGGCAGCATACTTTGCCCAGTAAAAAGATTTCTCTCATACCTTGACAATCAGTCATAGTTTCATTTGTCTTGTGCTGTGTTGATATATCTTTATAGCTAACCTAAACCATAACTTCTCAAATTCTAATTTGTCAGATCAAAAAAGTCTTTATGTCAACTTTTTTTTATTTTGTCTCATATTTCATGTGTATACAAGTGTTCATGTTTGGTCATACGGTGTCACTGTAAATTATAATTTCCTTTACACTTTTGGTGGTTTCTGTTTTTACACCACATTTATAATTTCAAATGTTCAGCTCCGATGTATAAAATTTATGAAGTTTTAAAGCTGAAATCATTATGTCCAAATGTCAGTGTGTGTATGTGTGTTGTGGCTTTTGTTAATATGCACGTTGTGTATGTGACCAATCGGTGGCAACGTATAATATTTTCATACCTTTTCGTTTCATTGCATCTTTAATCGTATCAACAAATACCGGAATTAAAAAGATATCACGATCCGTTTTCAAAGTGGAACTTGATTATTTTTTAAGTATTGGTTTGTGGTTACAGAACCACTGAAAACCAGGAAGTACTGGACAACTGTTTCGTCTTAATGTGGAACTCTTCAGTGTTGCCCATTCATGACGGAACCGGCAATCGAACCATGTGTATTACATCCATCATATTAAATTGTAATATACTCACAAAGTAAAACAGTAATATGCACAAAGAGAACAATATATCTGTTGTAAATAGAGCATACCAAGTGGTGCAGGCTTGAATCTTGGTGGAAAAATGAATTCCTTTCCAACATACTATATAAAATAACAACATATTGTGTTATACGGAATGATATGTGCGTCGGTGGCACAGTGGTTAGGACTCTCGCCGACCATGCACATGGTCCGAGGTTCGATCCCCTGCCTACGCACACCTTATAATCTATGGTCGGCCTGCAAAATTTGGGCTACCGATATCCATGCTGGAAATTCCATACTTGTACCAAAAATACAGTGTGGAATCAAGCTGTAATCAAAAATAAAAATAAATTATATCAGCTGTTTACAAGCGACTGGTAAGAAGCTGTGAACCTAGTTAGGCCAAGTACTTATTAGTGCTCATCAGCAAGGCATATCCGCAGCTCCTCTGGTGTTCGAGTCGTGATCATGCAGTGTTCTGAAGTTGGAGACGTTTTCACTGAGTCATACAGCTTCAAGATTAGCTTGCTGTTTGACTGTAATAAATGGGTTGATTGGACATTGAGGTGATGTATCTCATAATTAGTGTTCCTGCTGAAGGAATTCTATCAACAACCAAGTTATCAATGTATACACAAAGTCAAGCGACTGGACACCGTTAAATCCGTCGACCAACATGACTCAATTAATAATTCGTATTACACTTTTATGCATAATGTTTGGTTTACCTTCGTGGATGACTACATAAAGAGAACAAAAGGTTTCTTTCTTTTTTTTTGTCAATGTTATTTTTGGGAATTCAACAGAATCTTATTGACCAAGCTTATTTCTGTTATAACAATAGTCTGAAGAATTAGCGTGAGAAGACTGTTTTACTCGGGTCATCAATTCCTTCGAAGTTGCAGGTATGCCTTACTGATGAGTGCAAATATGTGCAACGTCTAGATCCATTACCTTATACTGATCACATCTAACCATCTAGTACCTTCTCTGTCTGTGTCTCAATGGACTTGAAGACGATGCTCATGAGATAGGAACTGTAGTGGTATTTTAAACATACTACAATATCTCTCCTTGTGTACATAAAATAAAACCTGCCTAGAGAGTACCTAGACACAAAAATTTACATTTCCGAACCACAAACTTTCTGTATCATGGCTAAATATTTTCATTGGATATATAGTACAGATGGGGTATGAGGTTTTAGTGACTACTGATCCCTGCTTGTAGTAATGACTAGAATTCAGACATATTTAAAGATGACTATTCATCGGCCGATAATAATAAAACTCATTACCAGTCGTAGACCACTTGCATAAACATGCTTTTAAATGACTCTCGCATACTTAAATTTCCTTTTATCAACTATATTTCCTAGGTACCCGGTATACGTGGTGCACCAAATGATCTTGTACAGTCGAAGGATGATGCAGAACTACGTGATTTACTCCTGAGACCAGCAAATGAAACAGACTCTGATACCTCCTCATTTACAGCTACTATAAGACGACGTCTACATACACCTGGACCAGGTAGGTTATATGTATTTCATGTCTTTTTACTTATTCGGTTGTTTTTGCTGTTGTTTTTGACGTCCTTCAAAACGAAAGCCTGGAACATTCCACTGGCTAAGGGAAGATTCATCCCACCCTAAATTTTGTTTCATTTCAGTTTTTGTGCTGTTAACGTTGAGTAGTACTTTTGTGTGAGGGGTTAAGGGTTAGCATAGCTTTTCTAATAATCTATAGCACAAAGACAGAATTGAAACTCCTATAGTTGCGTTTAATGAGTAAGTATTAATTTGGGACTCTTCAGCAGTATGCACCCACCGGGATTCGAACCCAGGACCTTCCGGTTACAAGGCGAGCTCGTATACCATTAAGCCACTGGGACCCGATCCAATGGTCCTTGAATTCTAACTTCTGCCAATTCACGACACAGCGCGACCGCTAGCCAATGTCTTCGGCGAGTATTTGTCCTCACACCCGACCAGCTGCACCCTACTGGTCACGACTTCCCACTGGAACCCAGGTAACTACCTACCTGAATAGGGCCAGTCGCCAGTGAGCATCTTATTGGTATTCAAGTGTTGGTAAGTATTAATTCTCTAGTTGTTATCTTAGTCTCCATTATCTCAGTGTTCAATATGTCCGCCAATCAGATTGTAATTAAAAACTAACACAGTGAATATAATATGCTTCAGGAAGGTTTTGTACGTTTGACAGATTCGCATACCTTCTGAGCCTACTGATTACTTTTAAGCCTTGAAAGTGGTGTAATTCTATCCTATTACTCAGTTGTTCATGTACTATTCATTTAAAGTAGAGATCAGTCTGATGAATTCAGTCCGGATGTTTATCAATAAAGTATGAATAAATAACTTAAAATCATAACTGTTGCATAATTAGTGGTTTTCGTCGTCACATTGTGGCATTTGACAGTATGCTGCGTGCTGGGCCACAGTCTCGGTAGGAACAGTATCATGTGTTTTGAATTCTACTGTTAGCCACTATCGAACAAATAGCAAAAGAAAAACATTTTTACTGATTTTTTCATAGTAAATAATTGTGGGTATTTAAAGAATCTTTTTTTTTTTTACTGAACTCTCAGTAGTTATCCAGAACTTCCGTCTATTCTCCTATATCATATGCTTTAAGTGTTATTTGAAAATTGAAAATTCGATAACCTCAACTGAGTTATTTCTGTGTAAGGTGTTGCCTAATGTGCCAGCAGATGAGCTAGTTATATACTGAATAGTGAAGTCTGCGAAAAACTTAGTCTAACCAGTGTAAACCACTGATTGTAAAACACTCATTGGAGAGAAAGTCGTGTTGATTGTTAGCTCCTGATAACTTAACTACAGTTACTATTATGGTTCGTGGTAATATCGATATCTGCATTCTTGGATTCCATATGTCCAAGTAAGCAGATTCATTTGGTCAATTAAAATATCAGTGCTAAATCACAATTACAAATAAATAACCAAAATAATGGTCGTTTTAAAACAAATGTTTGCCATTGTTCAGTAGTCTTGTGAATATCACTTTAGCTTTTGAGACAACTGCTTCTGTGTTCGTGCATCAGTAAGTAAAGTATCATCCATGAAAGCGGATGTATCCAATGGAGGAGTCATACTCCAAGTCATCAGGAAACATATATCGCTGCATCTTCTGAAATCATAAGCAAATCCTGTTTTTCTTGTTTTGAAATGCGATAAGTGAATAATCACCGAAAATACCCATTTAGTCATGAAGAAGATAAAAGACAAGTTCAGCGAAGAAAATTTTCTTTATCGACGAAATCATCTTCAGACGCTGTACAGTCGTATTTATACTTATAAAAAGTATATAGCGGTCTATTATTGAGTAATAGAGGGTGACATAATTGATATAATTATTCAGAAGTGGCTTTAGAAGTGAAAGTTAAAAGTTGTAAATTACGTGGTACTCAACGGCACAAAGATAGAAGTTTTTGATAAGGTTAAAATTGCTCTTGAGTGAGAATGAAGGTATTTGAGTGTCAATTTAACAAGTGTGAAAATGTACAAAAGAAGCATATGAGAGTGATAATAGTAAATTAATTAATAAAACAAAAGCAAACTAAAAGGAAAATAAAAAAAATTAAGAAAAATTTTTTTTATTGAGAACCACTAGTGAAGAGGTTAAGACCAAGGTAGAATAAGAGACTGGACAAACTTTTTCTGTATACAGAGTTCAGGATTGTGTTGACGAATCGCCAGCGCCTCCGCCATACACAAAAGTCGAAACCTGACACCCTTTGTACCACTTGGCTTCACTTTGTAGATGATATTGAAAGACGACTCTGGTGGAGCTATGTGACCTGAGTTCACCAAATGCTCGAGAATTCAGCTAGTAATTGTCTTGCATTATCCCTTTGCTAACCATGCCGGATAATGTTTAGAGATGCGTTTGGAAAGCGTTCTCTTTTTTCGGCAAATATAACTAGCTCCACACGAGCAGGTGAATTTATTACTCAATAATAGACTCCTATATATTTTTTTTGTAAGTATAAATACGACTGTACAGCGTCTGAAGATGATTTCACCAATAAGTGAACAAGTAGGTCAGTGTTGAAGACTTATTCAAGAAATGATAATAATATTAATAGTAATGGCTTTATTCCAAACAATACTTCTGATACAATTTGGAATCTTCAGCATGTAATGTAGTGCTACATCACTTACCTGGCGCCGGGTTCAGGGTGATCAAGAATGCTCTGACCCCGGGTGGAGGCTCACCATTGCACCTCGGTGGGTTGAAACTCGCGACGGACCCTAATCGGGTGCTCTCGGGCGTGTAGTTTTTGTCAGTGGGGAGGCCTCACGGTCCTCCCTTTATTGTGCGTCGGTGGCACAGTGGTTAGGACTCTCGCCGACCATGCACATGGTCCGGGGTTCGAGCCCGCACCGACGCACACCTGATATCTATGGTCGGCCTGCAAAATTTGGGCTACCGATATCCACGCTGAAAATTCCATACTTGTACCGAAAATACAGTGTGGAATCAAGCTGTAAATCAAAAATCAAATCAAAATCAATTTTCGTTTTATACTACATAGTACTGCCGGAAATAATTAAGACAACACTCACATTGAAAGCGCGATGCTAATATGAATATGCATGTGTAATATTAAATTGGAAATAGTAACAACAACAATATGAATGAAAGAAAGAACTAAAAGGGCTTTTTACTAAAAAGACACAGTCTCACAATTGTCTGCTGACATATATTACCTAATTAGTCACAAAAGAAGTTGGCTTATCTTATGTTTCTGTAGTAGGGACTAGCAATGCATTCTCAGTGTCTTCTAATAAAAGTGTCTACTGTAAAATTATTCCCTTTGTCTTATCATATAGCTGTTGTAAACGCCCACTGAATAGAGGGGTATTTCAATAAACGACAAATATATCTCTGACATAGTTGCGATCCCTTGCTATGCGCACTGATGAAGAGTCCAGACTTAGGATGAAACTGCTGTCCAGTGCTGTATAGTTCTTAATGACCTTTAACTGATATTGGTTCACGAGTAAATCTAAATTGAAATTCATCCAAACCCCTACAAAAATAAATAATCTAGGAGTCAATCTCCAGCTCATTGATAGCTACTGGATGGATATCCTGAAGTTCCTTTCACAAGTGTCGTGGATAGTCGGGTCCATATAGTGTCAATCAGAAGTGGGTCCTAATCGAAAGCATATGTCTCACGTTAGGTGGTTTCACAAGATAAGTAATGTTGATGTTGGCGTAGAGTGTTGGGCAAAGAGGGAAAATCAATCGACGAGGCTATAAAGTTACATAGACTAAGATGGCTAGGTCACGTGCTGCGCATGCCTAACCATCGCCTCCCCCGACGGGCTTTGCTAGCTGATATAGGTGAAGGTTGGAAAAGAGCCAGTGGTGGCCAAACAAAAACATGGCCTCATCAATCCATGAAATCCTTGACAGTTAAACTGAGTCAGGTAGGGAGATGCAGACTCCCGGGTTGGGGCCCTCGGGACTCTAGGAATCAATGGCGCAGATGTATTCAGTCTCTGTAATCTTTCATATTCCTTTCTACCATTACCCATTCTGTTTCACTCTTATACTTGTCAGACTGTATTGATTCTCTTCACTCATCTTCTTGTCTACCTCTGTGGGCTATTTGGAACGTGGCAACTCGAACTGCTGCACTTCGGTGCCAAGTTCTATGTTGAATCCAGACAGACAGACAGACATATGTTGAGGGTGGCGTTATAATACTAAATAGCAGAGATCGGAATTCACGGGCCATTGAATTCTGTCCCAAGTGACTGAATGACCAAAGAGATTGACTTCATAACGTGGAGGTCCCGTTGTGATCGTAGGAGCTCACTGTGGAAGAGCCCTAAAGTAGGACAGAAAAGCTTTCCACTGTTCTATTACTTTCAGTGATCCTTAACTGGCCTTGTTTCATACCTGAATCTGTACTTAAATTATATTAATATTGTGCAGGTCAATTTTAGCGTACATAAATTTATTGGTTTATTCTATTTTTTTGCGTTCACATTGGAACAGAGTTTCATGTTAGAGTTTTGAAGTTTCAGTAGCAGCTGTGGTTCTTTACGAAGTGGAGTTGCTAGCCACACACCCAACCTTCCTCCTCTACCTGCCTTTCTACCGGCTAACTGAGGTGAAGGAGTTCGTCATCCCGGGGGTCAAACCCTGGACTACTTGCTTTGTTGGCCATTATTTGTCCTACCACAAAAAGCAGAGTTCCTCGGCCGGGTATACAAGTTAAAAAAAAAGACAAATATAAAGCGATTGAGATGTACTTGACACATAATGAGCCAAATGTTTGCGAATAGTAAGCTTTATGCTCTTCAGCTCACTTATTCATCATTCACCGTACACACACACACACACACACACACACACTGACTATAGGCCATAAGAGATGTACAACCGCTTATATCATAGTGTTTGGCTTGAATGAATCTTGATGAGTGGAATGAATTTGTAAAAAACAAGAGAAGTACATGATGCATTGGCTCATATTTATGTATTTTAAGCAATATTAGTGTGTTTAATTTAAGTCAAATAGAAAGAAATAAAGAAGAAAAACCACCATCTCTACTTTCATGTTTATCCATTTTAGGGTAAAAATGCAAGTTGACAGGAGTACAAGACAATTAAAACAATATTATTGCACCCACTGAGTCAATCAGTCAGCCAGTAAGCCATTCATCATACTCTATGCATGTACACATATGCACATTGCTGAAGTAATGAGCAGTGTTTATGTGATGATGACAGTTGGTTGTTTCACTCATTGAGGTCAATACACGACGGTATTCCTGAGAAGAAAAATTCTGTTTATAATTTATTCTGGCTGTGAAGAAAACAAAAAGTAGACGTGCTTGCAAATTTTTAAACTCACTGACTCCTATCTTTCTTATCTAAAATGGCAGTATATTTTGTAACGGTAACTAGACAGACAAACATAGAAAAATACAGTAAAATGAAGACAAAAAAGGAATATTCTTTTTTCAGTATTTATGTTTCTATTGTGTTTTCGGGTGTTTCTGTTGAAGTGATTCACATGCGGTTATTGTTTATGTTTGTCTTAATTATCTCGCAGTCTTCTCCTTCTAAACTCTTTTAATTTTTTTTAAAAAATATTTTCCTGTATTCCTAAAATTCTGCAATGCAATGCCTGTGGTAATCTTCACTGGTCCTATCAACTGATCAAACTAACAACGAAGCTCCTCGACGATTGGCGCCAAATCGTGGACGTAGTCCAGGTATAGCCTGTGAAGCTTCCGATGCTTCAATGGAAGCATTAGATCAAGAACAAGATATTCTCTTGGATGCCTGTTTACGTGCCAGTACACCATCCATTAATTCGCATGGTGGTATGGGTAGACGCGCTCCACCCAAAGATCGTAGAAGACCCTCAGATCGATCAAGATTTTCAGGTATGTCATGGTGTAAATTCCAAAGTAGGCATGTACTGCATATCTCAATAGATATATTTACAGACTATACTTTTTGGCTGTTATATGAACCTATTGCTTATGGGTTTAAATATTACCCCTAACAGTCTGTTAAAATCTCTTTATCGTGGAATAGTGAAAGCAAACTGAGTGCTCAGATTAATGTATCCTCGCTATCTTTTGTATTACATTGGACGTTCATTGCTCGCCGTAGACAAAGTGTCAGAGTGATAAAGTACTGCATTTTAGCCTACAGTAAATGACTTTCAACCTATTTTATTTTTCTAGTCATAAGTGTAAATAGAATTATAAGGCATAATAATAAATATGAAAGCATCACCGAAAATCTCAAAGAAAATTTCATTCACAAAAACAACAGTAACTCTAAGTGTAACCGAAAAACTTAGTTCCCTTATAGATAAAGGGCGTCAGACGAGATCAGAAGAGTACTCAACTAATCAGCAGGTGTCACAACAGAGTATCCTTCGAAACATCGAACTGTGTTATGCACCATGCATTGAGCTCACTTCTGAAAGAAATTAAGGTCAGGAGAAATTAACACCGCAGAGCTTGAAAGTGTGTAGGCTATAGAATCAAGCTACAAGATTGATTTTGCCTATACGAAAATCATTCAGAGAAAAATTCTAAACATCGTCTGATCCAAATTGTTTAAATAGGGGTGATAAATTGTGACAGAATTTAACCTGGTCAGATCATCTCGCTGGCGAAATGATATAGTCAACTCAAATATGATGAACACTTTCCATTAGGCAAACATATCCTGATTTTATAATTCACACACTTATTAAATCCAACAATCTGCAGCCTTGCGATGTCTTTAACCAATTCATTCACCCACGGACTCAGGACGGCCACATACAGAGCAGTTGTGATTGAGTTTATATATATATATATATATATATTTCAAGTATTGGTTTTATAGGGATTTTGTTTGATTGGTTGAGGGATTTCATCATGAGCTGACATCAGTTAGAGAAGTGTTGGAAAACCTGACAGTACTGGAAAGCTGCTTCTCCCTAGTTCGGGACTCTTCATCAGTACGCACCCACTGCCGGGGTTCGCATCCATGACCTTCTGGTTACAAAGCGAGCTCGTAGGGAACCGATCTAATGGACAGCTCATGAATTCTAACTTCTGCCAATTCACGACATGGTGCGACCAATACTTCAAAATTGGTCTGATTCTCACTAGCGACTGGCTCTTTACCTGGAATCCTAGTGGGAAGTCGTGTTTAGCGGGGTACAGCAGGTCGAAGATGATGACAGTTACTCATCAAACAAGGCATCGCGAAGTGGTTGCGCTATGTCGGGAACTGGCAGAAAGTAGGATTCGTGGGCTGGCCATTGTATAGGTTCCCAGTGGCTTAGTGGTCTACGAACTCACCTTATAACCAGAAGGTCCTGGTTTCGAACCCTTGTGGTGGCTGCGTTGTGATGAAGAGTCCCAAACCAGGACGAAACAACTTTCCAATACTCCTGGGTTTTCCAACAGTTCTCTAATTGATGCCAGCTCATGATAAAATCTTCCAGCCAATATATATATATATATTGAGATTTTGTAAACTGGTTCACTATTACCTTGATGGAACCATGAGCAACATTAAACAGTGAAACGTCAGTAAGAACACCGTCGTTATGCTTTTCAGTCATTGGGAAATACGAAATTAATTATAATAGGGCACTCTGTAGTTGTGGTTAGATATTTCAACCTCTTCATTGCCCAGTATTATTTCATGTGACCGGTGTTTATCATGTGTTTTCAGTCATCATTAGCTTTTTTCCCGTGAGAATATATATATATATATATATGAATGATTGAAATAGGTGAAGATCACGTGGTGTAACTCGAAAATTATACTAAAATAGATAGAACTCACGAGAAACAAAATCAACCTTAAGATATGCGTATTCGTCAACAGATGATTTTAAATTCTAAGTGCACTCTGATAGAAATTGGTTGATCGGTTGTGTGTAATGTGATGCAACATTATTGTGTACTGTGATGTAATCCAGTTTTTCTTATTAGATATTAGGTGAAATCATTTGCTAAATTTTTTCACAATTAATTTCTTTTATAAATATTACCAAAACAAGACTCAGTAAACATTGTATGATGAATTGAATGTATTCAACCGTTTCGTCTGTATTCTGTAAACCTAACCCATTGCACAAGAGGTGGTCGAGGTGGTCTAGTGGATAAGGCTTTGGCATTTGCAACGATGTGTGTTAGATGGTTGGAGGAAATCAGTAGGAAGCTTTGGACCTAGGTTTCGCGCTAGTTGGCACTTACAAGTCAGCAAGGAGTATCTGCAACCTTGAAGGAATTCATGTCCTTTCTGAGATTCAAGCCAAACGAAAGACTAGACACACTATGCTAGTCACTGAATGGTTTCCAATCAAAGTAACCAATACATTTCTACAGGAGGTCAATCGTAAGCTTCAATAGCTCAGTGTTAACATCTCTAACTGCAGCACTGTATGAAGTGGATTTGAATTTCAGAAGGAACATGAGTCCTTTCAAGCGTGTACATATGCCTTGCTAATAAGTGCCAACTAACACGAAGCCTGAATGCGCGTCTTCTTGTTGATTTCCTCCAACCATCTAATAACAACAATTCAAAGTGCACTGTGATGGCGAGCCCCCTCGAATGGTGGTCACATTGCAAACCTGACTGATAGAATTCAGTCTCCAAAGGACTAGACACACCATACTAGCCACTGCCTTAGTCTCCAATCAAAGATGGGTACTTGGTTCGATTCTCAGAGGGAACGCCATCATTCTTTTGGGACTGGTGGTACACTGATTTGATGACTTCCAAATAGGCCGAAATGCGCATCGTACAACCCATTACTGACCACCATTCACCAAATTACTTCAAGTTAATTGCGAAAAATCGTCGAAGCGTCCGTCGTCCGAGCTGACATGTCAACAGAGGTCGAACATTTAGGTCGAATCAGTCAACGCGAAGATCAGAATCGCCTTAAAAACGAGTACACACACGCATCGATGAAAATTTCTGCACACTTACATTATGTTTTCAAATGCAAATGATTTGATACACTCCAGTGGTTAAAAATCGACACAAAATAAGCCTTTTTATATCTATACATCAGCATATATGCGAATAAAAATTACAAAGGTCTTGACTTAGTCAGGGGAAAAAGTACGAATTTTTTTTTGTAAATGAACACAAATCATAATAAATGAAATCGATTAGAACAACTAAACGAGGTAATAATTAGATAAATAATGATAATAAGGTGTGATTACAACTCATGATAGTAATGAACCTGATATAAGAGGGAGAGGATGGCTAAGATAGGACTGAGATAAGCTGGTGAAATAGTGTTACATCAGTATCCAGAAGTGCCGATAGATTCAGGTGATTTTACTGTTCATATCATGAATACACGCTATCGACTGAAGTTAGAAACCACACATACATACACACATAGAGTTACCAGTCGATTGATACTCTGTGGTTTTGAAGGAGGTGTACAGAAAGCCTATCCTACTATTAAAGGCATTTCATTCGAACTCGTGCATGTTATATAGTGTTGTCATTTAAAGTGACAACAATCAGTAGTTCCCATTCAAAATATCTGAAAGACATACTGATGGGGGTGGTAGACTTCGATGTCTCAAGGACTGATTCGCTATCAGAAAAAGCTCCTCTTGACTCTCAGTATGCAGATGATATTGTCATTTTAATTAATAAAATTCAGAATCTTCTCAAGTTTAGTAAATAAAAAAAGATATATGAACACGTTTGAAAGGCGGTTCTCCTCTGTCAAATGCAGGATAATGCTTAAAAATTGCTTTACACCATCTCTGAAACTTTTACTTAATCTATACTTAATTATCCTCTCAACTAATTTCTTCATTGCATTACTTTTCTCTAGTTTTTAATGCAATTTTCCGAGGAGTGGAAACTGTGGAACACAGAGACTTTTGTGTAATGCTATGCAGTGATAAATCGGCCAGTTTGATCGAAGTTAAATAAACACTGGATATGACAAGTTTGATCACTACCTGATATCACTTAGAGAACCTCTTGGAAGCCAGGAAGTACGGGACAGACGTTTCGTCCTATACCGGGACTCTTCGCGGTGTGTACCCGCCAAGCCTCAAACCCAGTACTTTCCGGTTACAAGGCAAGCTTGTAGACCACTTAGCTACTGGAACACGATACAATGGCTCATGAATTCCGACTTCTGCAAATTCATGTTTTTAACGCGAACACTAGCCAGTGATATTGGCGAGTATTTGTCCTGTCGCCTGATACGGTGGACCTCACTAGTTACAATTTCTCACTAGAACTCCAGTCAATTCCGTCATGTAGCCTGTCATTGCTGCGAGCATCAGATTCATTTTCAAGAGAACTAGGACGAAACAGCTGTCCAGTACTATTCGGTTTTCCAACTGATATCACACTATGATAGAACTTGAAATACATGAAATCCCTTCAAACTAATTCTTGAAAACACTGAACAGTGGTTTCTTTCCATTTTAGGTGAAGAGTTCATTAGTAGCGTGCTAAGACTAGCACACGTCATAGAGCTGAACAGCTTTTAAAGTCAGTTACACATTAGGGGTGGGGGGGAAATAACTTTTCAGTATCTATAAGGTTTTTATTCACCCAACAAGTACGGTCAATTAATATGCTTTCTAACTACTGGAACCACTGGTAGTATGATGAGTCAGACTTGAGTATTAATTTAGTCCGTAGAAAAAATGTGGAAATATGCCACGTTGGACTGCTTATTAGGACAACATTTGATCTAATTTCGCAAATATTATGTCTATATGCATATTATCAACCTATACATGTAACCTGTCACTTACCCGAATTTTTCTTTTTGTTCAATGCTCTTTTTTTCAGTTTTCCAGTGCGTCTTTCCTATCAGTTTATCTGTTTTACTTTTTCTCTATAAGAAGCATAAATTCACTTTATGCACATTCTACTTTTGGCTGAGTAAACTGAACGCTTTCTGCTGAATCTTTGTGTATGCTTCTGTGTGTGTGTGTGTGTGTGTGTGTGTGTTGAAACGGTGCCGTTTTTACAACAAAACATTAAAACTCTCAGGTTATCTGAATGAAATAACTCACTCAGTCTGTTCACTTAAATCAATTTTTCGAGTTGTCTTTCAGTTCAGGAATACTCATCATAATACCACTTTCCTTTGTGTCTTGCTTAATTTCGTCACGTTGCATGCATTGCGGTACTGTGGTTGTTTTAAAAAAAAGAACACTTGTTCATTTCTAAATGCATGATGACAACATCTTACTTAGGTTTATGCAGTTGACCGGTGTAATGAAACTTTACATTCGCACGTGGTTTAAACTCTACATGGATTTCTATTCAAGCATGTGAAATGTTTTTGCATTCAGTCAGTTGTCTGCTTGTATATGTGCGTATGTGTGTCATTAAATGACAGTTTTTTACGCTTGCCTAACTGAGAAGTAATCTAATCTTTGCCGTGTTTTCTCTTCTCTTTTTGTTCATCTGTTTCAGTTCGTCGAACTCTTAACAAGAAACTCGCTGAAGATGATATCAAGGCGATAGAACGAGTGATACAAGCATCGGCTAAAACATAACCCTAATCCCAATAGTTATCCTATTTTGTTTTCCATCCCCCTTTCACTGTGACGACTTCACAATTCTCAGCTGAGAGTGAACAAAGAGAATAGATATCACTTAACCTTATTATTGTGATTTCCTCTCTTACTTTCAACATTATCTTTTTGTAAATATAGGCAAAATATGTTAACTGTTTCACTGCTGATAAAATTCAGAATATAAATTTATTTGTAATTTGATACGAATAACAGTTCCTCTCCCCTCCCTTCGTCGGTCGACCATTTCTCCTTTTATACACAGCTGTAAACGCTCACTTGCATAGACACCCACCTTACACAAATGCCTCCTCTACATACAAAGAAGTTTTATACAATATACTACGTTTGTTGTGTAATCACTTTTTTCCTACTGAATATCCTTTGGTCTTCCCTTGAATTTTCCTTTTTTTTCGCCTACACGCTTAAATGATAATTTCCATGATTGTTAGGCTACTACTTCTGTCGGAACATGGTAACAGTGAAACAGAGAGGGGATAGAATCAAGTATACCAATCTGTTCTGTTCTTCCTTCTTCCACGCTAATTTATTTATTTACTTATTTACCCATCTATCGAGAATGTGAATCTTCTTGTGTTTGTTGGATCTTCGTAAATAATCATTTTGTACAGCACAGGTAAAGTCCATCTTATCGAGAAAAGGAAAGTTGTTGTATTCAAATTCTCAGTATTGAACTGCCAGATGGATGGACGACTGAAAAAAAAAAGAATAAGAGAAGAACAAGAGAAAGAGAGAGAGAGAAAGAATGATACTTGTACTTTGAGTTCTTTTCTAATAAGTGTGTACTTCTCACCCTTCTTGTTCTTGTTCTTCTTATTCATCCTCTGCTTTTTTTTCCACATTTTTTCCTTGCTGAGATATGTCAACCGACTCTTTTGTACTTCAATTGAAGTTTGATCTTCTAGTGTCTTGTAGAAAAAGGAAAGCGCTATCACCCCCACCACCCCACCCCACCCCCTAATAACGCATGTGCCTTTGGGTTTCTTTGCCATTATTTTTTACTCCTCATTATTATAACGTCTCACTCACTGTCTCTTCCTGTCTATGTCTTTCTTTGGATGGTTATTATCATTTTATTGTTATGATTATTATTACTATTTTGACAAACAAAATGCATTTGAGTTTTCAAATTATTGTATTGTTTAGTTCTACTGACCATCCACAACAAATTTTGTTATTTAACTTGGAGTTTTAAGGACTTATTCACGGCATGTTGCTTTCAAGTAATATATATATATATATATATATATATATATATATATATATATATATATATTCGCCAAGAGATCTTTCCATCTTTTCTATGTGTACGTGTGAGGTTATTACATTTATTTGCTGTATTTCACGACACTGAACAATCTACAGTCTCCTATGAATCGATGCATCCAATCATTTCATTTCTCCTTCTTCTTTTTTTCTGACAACTTTTCATTCATTTAAACAAACACTTGTCTAAGTCGACTTCAATTTGTCTGCTCCCAAACCCTCCTCACCGAATCACTACTCCCCTGTACTCCCGAAACCCCTCCTCTTCACTGTTTTCTTTGCTTCCATTGCTGAGATTTATTTTTTAGAAAAACAAAATAAATAAACATATATATACATACATCAGATTTAATATTAATTTCGTAATCTTTTTTGTGTATGCGTGTGTATGTGTATCTCTGTCCTTTTTCCAAAATTATATTGCTAATACACGCATACATACATATACACACATATTTAGTTAATTGAAAATCAAAGAATATATTCACCATTCATTCATTCATCACCAGAGCATTATCCCTTTCCTATTGTTCTTGCTGTTTGTATTGTTGTTATTGTTCCCCTTTTTTTCCCCTCTAAATTTTTTCATAACCAAACTTATACTTTTTCGCAAACTTTCTCCTTCTTTCTTCTCTGCATATTATTAGGGGCTGTATTCGCTAAACCCTTTTTGTCTAATTTTTATTCATTCAAAAGAGAAACAAATTATTACCAATATTATTATCACTATTATTACCATTAATTTTATCTATATTATGTATGGTTCCAGAATATCACACGAACTGACGAATGAGCAGGTAAAACGAGAAAGACAGAGAGGGAGAGACAGATAATGTCCATCGACAAACTGTGGAATCACTTGGAATGAATATATTCCCGCCTTAGTTCCTTCGTTGGTAGACACTTTCTGTTCCCCCTCACATGAGCTTTTTCTTTCTTTATTTCTCTCTCTCTCTCTCTCTCCTGTGTTTATCTCTTTTCTTTTGTCTTACCTTCTTACCCTCCTTTTTTCTTAATTGAGAGAAACAGAAGAGAAATCTAGTTTTACACTTTTAAAACTTGTACAGTTTACAAGAAGATTTGTGTGTGTGTCAATGTCTGTGTGTACGTGTGTTTGGCTTTTTCGAGCAATACTATTGACAAAGCAAAACAATGTACTCTTTGATCAAACGAAATGATATTTCCCATTTCCTATTTAATTATTCTTCTGTTTTATTAATTTCAAGAAAGTCGTGGCATACGAGCGGGTCTTTTACATGGCACATTGACATCATATAACTAATTCTTAAGGATATCGGTGGTAGTTAGATGAAATTATCGATTGGTAATTATCAGTAGTGTCTGACGCTACTTCTAGATGATTTCTATGTTAATTGGTCATCAAGGAGTATTGAATACTAAGCATCTTAGTCCTTCGTGTTGATGCAGACTGAACTCCATCAGTTAAGTGTCTCACTGCCAAGGTTAAGTCTGAATTGCCTTTAGATTGTTGGGAATAATCAACAGAAAGCCTTGAGCCTGGGTTTTGTGCCTCTTGCCACTTGTCAGTAAAGTATATCTGAAACCTTGAATGAATTGGTGTCTCCAATGAGATTGAAATCTCGTCAACAAATGCAGATGACTTGCTGTAGGGAGGGTGGTGGGTACACTGATTAGTTATCACAGATCAGTAAATGTTGTGTGTCTAGCCCGACTACTTCCAGCCGTATAAAATCAGTTCACAGTGCACTGCGGTGGCAAGTTACTTAGCATGGTGACGACATTTTAAACTTGACTGATAGAATTCAGTCCGCCTCAAGGACAAGAAGCATGGTACTGGCTTTACCTTAGTATCCATTACAGCCCTACAAGAAATCGGTCGTGACCCTGAATAGCTCAGTGGTAGTGACTCTGCTCGAATCTTAGGGAGGATATCAGTTAATTTAAGGTTCCAGATATATACTGCTGAAGAGTGCAGCCAAGCATGAAACCTAGGTCCAAGACTACCAGTTGATTGCCTCCGATCACATAATAGGTAGATCCTAAGACAAAAAGAAAAAATAAGTTTCCAAGGCATTTTAGTATAATTAAAGGCTAATAAATATTCATGTAATAGGCGATAATTGTATGTAAGATAAAAAAATTTCGGTCTCGGAAGTATTCTAACTGCTGAATTTCTATCAGCTGACCTACTGGACACAAATGCTAATCAGGTCATATATGCATCAAAAATATCATGAGTCACCATGAAAATTAATGGCATCATCATACTAGTCGTCCTTCCAGGTCTTCAACTGGTAAGGAGGAGATGAGAAGGTTGTTAATTGATTGTGCAACTTCTGGAATAGACCTGAGTTGGTAGGTTGTTAACTTGATATAAGTATAAGACTTGGGCACTGTGCTAAACTTAGACCTTCACGGGGGAAAATTTTGTGAGTAACTTGATATGATTATGAGCAATAGTTTGTGCTTGAAACGTCATCAGTTAATATTACTGTACAACACTGTGATTTATCAAAATAAAATCTTATCCATAAAGGAGGTTGTTAACTAGTAGTCTCACCATCGAATGTTTTCTTTCTTCACTGCGATGATGCATAGCTATAATTTCCATTTCAAAAGCTCCAGCGTAATACATTGCACCGCCAAGTCGCAAATGTCTACTGCGGAAACTGTCACAAATATCATTGAATAGATCAACAGCTTTTGACCATATGTGCCTTCATTCAGTCTCTCGTATTAGTTTGAGTAATATAGTAGACGATAATGAGGTTAATCTTAGAGTTCTAGGTGAGGTGTAAGTCTCTCTGTATGTATCTCAATTGATATATGAAGTATGGAATTGAATTTTTGATTTTCCCGTCGATTGATTGATTGGACCGAAGTGCTCGGTCTCAGGTTGACATGTCGGCTTATCAGAAAATGCAGTAATGCGTTATATTAATAAAAAGGTTACTTGGATATAATGTTAAAGTCCGCTGCTAGAAATTATTAATATAATTCACGGGAGCGTTCACTGCTGGAATGGCGTCTACTGGTAGATGCTGTGGACAGGTTGGAGAGTAGTCTTCGGATGAGGATAGTAGACTTCTACAATAAATCCAAAGGATACAACACGTTATGACTGGAGCGAGTAAGCAGTAGCGGCCAGAGAGAAGGCGAAGTTCCCAACAGTATAGTGTATTTCCAATTGTACACGGAAGTTATATGTATTTTAACAAGAATCGTTATAAACAAAAATCATGTACAATGTCTATAATTTCTGCAACTAACAAAAAGTGTACAATCATATTGTTACGTACTCCACAGATTGATATCAATTAGAGAACCATTGAAAACCAGGGAGTATGATACGAACTTGCTTTGTAACCGGAAGGTCATGGGTTCGAACCCCAGTGGGTGCGTACTTCCGATGATTCCCAAACTAGGATGAAACAGCTGTCCAGTACTCCTTGGTTTTCAATGTTTCTCTAACTGATATCAATCCGTGATCAGCTCGTAGAAAGAGAACTATCAAAGTGATGAAATACATGACAAGACATGAAGATGAGAGATGATTGCGTTCAAGATGTTGATGAAGCCAATGTCTGCGAATCATTTATGGCCTACAAACACTTAATATCAAATTACACACCCAGAAACAATGCCTATGTCATCAGTCACCCACAGTTTTGTGTCATAAACAATTCGGTTGTCGAAGTTGTTGGTACATCTGA